AATATAGGCTGTATGCCGTATATATATGTAATGGAAAGATGGATTGTGATTTCTCTCTTCATGTTGCATCATTTAGTGTCAACATTTTCCCAAAGTGCCGGCCTTATCCTAAATTTAACCCTTTCCCAAGGAGTTTACTGTAATTCTAAGCTGCTTGCCCTTTCCCCACCAGCATCTGATTTCTACTGGCTGGGTGTTTCACATCCATACACTTTTATACAATGTGTATAAGGAAATACTGGCTGGGTGTTTCCTACCCGTCCACGTTTAGTGACTTTTATACATTGTGTATAACGAAATTGGCTGGGTGTTTCACATCCATACACTTTTATACATTGTGTAAAAATGTAAAAGGACATACAGGCTGGGTGTTTCACATCCGTACACATAAATAAGCAAGGCGGTGCAAACAAATGCATTGGGCACTATTTTTTGTTTTAGTAAGCGTTTTATCACAATTACAGCACACTTAGGTCATAAGTGCCGAAGATTAGAGGTGTTACAAGAGAGTAACAAAACCTTAAAGAGATGGAGAGATAAGGACGAAAGACGTTTGATAACAAAGAAGGAGCATAACACACCAAAGCAACCGTCAACCACCCACTGACATTTCAAGGTGTGTCTATATGCAAGTTTTGAAGAGTGACTCGCCCTGATTCGAAGACCTTATTATTATACGGGCAGTCTGACTGGTGAGGCCCAGAGTAAACGACTTGGCGCAGATTTCTCTTGGGCCAGGGATAATGTTGCTCCGGTTTTTTTAGTTTTAGTAAGAATTTTATGGCACTTTTAACACAAAAAGGTCATATAAGTGCCGAAGATTAGAGGTGTTACAAGAGAGTAACAAACACCAAAAAGAAAGAGGAGAGATGGGGATGATAGATGTTTGATAGAAAGAAGAAGAAAACCACACCAGAGCACCCTCCAACCATTCACTTCCTCCTGTTTGGGATGTTTTCTTCCACACCAGCCTAGCTAAACAATGCCACCTTGGGCAGAATATCACTCACTGTAGATGAACAGCTAGTTCCATTCTGTGGGTGATGTAGTTTCATCCAGTACATCCCAAGTAAACCAGACAAGTGGAATTAAAAACTTCTAGGTTTGTGACTCTGAAAACAGCTACCCACTTAAAAGCTTCACCTATTTGGGCAAAGAGCACACAGGGCCAAGACCAGTCACAGAGAATTTAAAAAGCCGTTGGTTCCAACACTGTTCTAAAGACTTCAAGGGCAGGGACACAAATATCAACCTTATTTGGTGGACAGTCAGCTAGGAGGAACAAACATATTGTGTCTATGAATTTCCAGGCAAAAAGAACTTGGCTCTCTCCGAGTCAGCATTTGTTGTATTTTGGAAAAACGCACCTCTGGTCTCTTCTTATCAAAGTAAGAAAGAAAAAAAAGTCCTTCTCCTCAGCTCAATGCAAAGTGTCCCTAAAAGATATGAATACAATGGAAAGCCAGAAATTGTCCTGCGTTATAACAAAACCAATGGTGGTGTGGATGCAATTGACCTAATGGCTCATGCTTTTTCAGTCAATCAGTCAAACGCATGACAAAACGAAGGCCCCTTGTAGTTTTTTCAACATCTTCAACGTGAGTTCTATTTCCTCAGGCGTCATTTGGCAAGCCAAGCTCTCCGGCGACACCCTTTCAAACGCAGACAACAGGCAGCTCTTCGACTTATCTGTGGCAAGACAACTGGTTGTCCAGCAGATCATAAGGCGCTCGGCTGTTTCTACACTCAGTCAACTAATCAAACAAAACACAATGTGTTTCAGCCTCTGAGACCTACTCAAGTGTTTTCTCTCCGCATCCAAAGCCAGAGAAAGAGGTGCAAACCAAATGACGAATCTCCTTAGTCTCAAATGCAATATATGTGCACTGTGCCTGGTCAAAAAGGATCAGAAGACGGAATGTCTATGCGAGATGCATGATAGTTACATCTCTAGAGACCACTCAGATTTTCTTTGCAGTCTGTTTTGAATAACACTATTTTCTTTTGCATCTTTCATTCTTTGTGTGAGTGCAAGAATCACATGCGGCAATCATATTGCTCGCACCCTGACAATAGCTGCTTGTCTCCTTATTTCTGTTTGTTCCAAGTCTTTAATGAAAAAAAGAAAGATATTTCCATGTATTTCAAGCCTATAACGTTTCTTTATAATACATGATTAAGATAAAGTCGATTGGGATTGTTTCCCACATCATCATGTCTGATCCTTCTTTCTCTAAAACCTATAGAAAATGTACTGGTGTGAACCACCCAGCCAGTATTTCCTTCCATAAGTGTGCAACACCCATCCCATCCCACCCCACCCGGTAGGAAACAACATAAATATTTTTGAACAGGTGCCACCTACCACACATTCAAAGAATTCATTACTTAAATATTTTGTATTAACCACACAGTTAAATACAGCAAATTTGAGGATTACATAGAAGCAAAAGTGTGGATTGAACGCATTCGGAGTTCTGTCCTTACAAAGTGGTCAGGTGGGTGTAATACACCCAGCCGGTGGGGACAGTGTTAAATATTTCCTTTTTTTGTGTATAAAAGGTGTTACACACAGGCCTACACTTATTATACAGCAACACTTCGGTTTTTTTTCGATTAACTCAACAGTGAAAAAGCAAAGAGTTATACGACAGTACATTGTCAGCATCATGACGATGAATTTACCAGCTTAATACTCTGGTCGTGACTTCTTGTTTCACCTTCGCAGAGCAAACAAATATAAAGTCCAGTTTATAATAAACACGTAACAGCACCACATTCTTAGTTTGAAAACGGTTCAGTCGCTACGACGGACTTTGTTGCGTTTTGTGTTTTCTTTCCGCACTACTTAAAAGCCCGCTACACTCCTAGTTAGAGTTAGACTCGCCAGATTCACAGGAACAGGCCGACCTGCTGGTAGAATGGAAGGTGTGTATGGGACTGCTTCGGATTGTGCAGGCCACAATATCAGTTTGACTGGCTTAAGTTCGACATTAGATATATGTCAAAGATTTTTTGGGTCTTGCAACAGGAAAGGGGGTGTCCTTTTGATTTATTATTCTAGCCGGAAAGAAACTTTCAACTGGTTACAAACACAAATATCACTCTGATTATAAAAATATTAAATTTTTAAACTCAGATTGTCAAAATTGACGAAGTCCACGCGTACATGCTCGCTTTATTGCTTATTTACCAAGTTATATTTTTCCTTATTCATTGTATTTAATAAGTTTAAGTGGGCTCTGCCATGACAACAAGGAGATAATTTATTTTGCTGTCTACTCGCGTGGTATGTATACACACCGTGTTCCAGTCTGACGGGTTTACTCGACAGCTCAATTGGAAAACTCTAACTGCAGGTGTGTAGTGGCCTAAAGCGTTGTAAATGGTTGTCGTGATAAGTTTTCCAGTTCGGGCGAGATCCTCTAGACTGTAGACCAAAGATATACACAATCTTTGTCTAGACTGTAGGCCAAAGATATACACGATCTTTGTCTAGACTGTAGGTCAACTGCAGTTTTCCTAGAAGAGCGTACACGCTATCAGGGTACTAGGCCAAAGTTTGTTGGAAAGCACACTTCTACTGCCATATTATTATTATATCGACAGGTCTGTTATCTTCCAAAATAGATATACCATCTACCCCGCACGCAAAGAGAAGTGTAGTGTTCTAAGTTGTCACAATCGTAGGTTGCTTGTGGTGTCCCCCTCCCCCCCAAACCGCAACAAGCTTCTCTCCTTCTTTCTCTTTTTTATAATATCTAGTTTGTATTTGTACGTGTGTATATTTGTGTGTGCGTATGCGTATGTATGTGTGTGTGTGCGTGCGTGCGTGTGTGTGTGTGTTATACCCACTTATATACCCACTCTTATATA